AGGGCAGTTCTACTAGTAACTAGAAGCTACTAGTAGCAAGGTGCCTTACTAGTAGTAACAACGGCATTACCATGTCCATGTGCGTTGGCCATCAGGAGCTGGCATTGCCATGCATTGGAATGGTCGTCTCAGGGGCACGACCCGCTTTGTGGACGGACACGCAGTTGTCCAAGGTGAGGTGATCGACCGAATCGAGGGACAAGGTCGATGCCCGCAGTCGGAGAGAACGTATGTTTTTATATCATGTCCTTGTTCGCGGCTGAGGTCTTTAGTCCCTGAACCCTGGAAGAAGGATATGTGCAAAAGTGCTTTTGGAAGGTCGTACACCATGCTAATGTGGATGGTTGGGGATGGAAACCGCTTGGTTTTGAGGGCCCTTGGGCCCTTGAGCAATTAAGAGATGATGCTGCAGTGACCTCGAAACATGCAGAAATTTGTTTCCAAGAATACGTTTACATGCTGTTAGTTGGTTGTCTTTACTATAGTGCTAAAGTATATATATATATATCATATCTTAATTTGCGAGCACTCCGCTTTCCAACTGTTCGACCAAATGACCAGATCTGGATAAACCGTGCCAAGGGTTTCGCTTCTGTTGTGACTAGAAAACTGACACGATTGCGCCTTTGAGGGTTGTAGGGGGTTGGGAACAAGGTCAACTCTAAAGAAATATTTTGTTGGTTGGCAGCTCTGAACAACACACTTTGCTGACTGCAATTGAAAACAGTTTGGTAAAGTGTCATTCAAGATCCTTTAAGTTTCGAACAGCAGCGAAAGCAGCAAGCAGATAAGTTCTCAATTGTTCAATTCAATCCTAGTCACCTAGTCATGCTTGTGAAACACTTTGCAAGTATCCCATGGTTGCGGAAGAGAAAAATAACTGCACACCCGACATAGTCGGGCCTAAAAAGCTTTGCGCATATTTTGTGGGCCCATCCTTGTTTCCTATGCTAAAACTTCAACATAGTGCTTTTTCTAGTGAGGAACTCAACTTTAAGGTGATTTTCTGGTCTTTGTAAGTCGTAAGTATCCCATAGGAACAGGAGGAGGATATCCGGTTCGCCTGGGAGTCTCAGCGGCTGCCTCGGTGGACTGTCTACTGGCTGGCGTTGATTCACATGGTGAGTTCAGGTCATTGAGTTGGTTTCACAACAAAGATACAGAGATTCTTGGTTACCAGAAAAACATATGTACTTGTATAAATATATATTGAGTTGTTATCTATCACAAGCGGAGAGTCAGACTGTTGATGAACGTTTCTTTTCACTGGTATGCCAAAAAACTTTTGCATACACTAGCAGGGGAACTGGGCACTCTGTGACTGACCCAGTTCAACAAAGCTATGGTCACAGAGTGGGATTCGGACTGATCATCCGAACGTACCTGCAAAAACGTTTCAGTTTTCACTCGAACGGCGACTGGGTTAAGCAAGCCGAGAACCCAGTATGTCGTCCATTCTAACTATTTGACGGTGTTGTCTACGCAACCGTGAACTCTAGGCAGTGGACTTAGGAGGTTTTGGGCTTTGGATTATATATATATATTGTCTACTGACACCCGACGGTGTCGCTCATTCTCTTGTACACGGCAGAGGACTTAGGAGGCCATGGGCTTGGACATGTTTCCAAAGTTCCTTCACATAAAACCTTCTCAGTGTGTATATATATACGTTCTAGTGGATGTCTCAATGGTTTCACTTAATTTTAGTTCGCATTTTCCCGCAAGCGCTTGGGAGTCCGGTTAAGTGGGCCGGGGCAGCCCACTTTGCTGCTTGAACCTTGGAACATGATCTTTGCAGCCAAGAAAGCTGAGCTGCACCTCTCACGCGGATCAAAGATTGATGCGATAGTCTAAGTGATACTGCTGTACGCTTAAGAGCTTAAGAGTCTGATGCCAGGCAAGCACTGGGGCAGGTCAAAATAGTTTTTTGTGCGTGTGTGTGTGTCCACACCTGTACCAAAGGACACCACTTCATGCAAATTAATTCAGTTACTGGAAATTTTCCAACCCACGGGCAGGGGAACTGGGCACTCTGTGACTGACCCAGTTCTGGGATTTTCGGACTGATCATCCGAACGTGCCTGCAGCTTCTTGATCAGATGATGTAAACAATAATTGTTTCCGACCCCTTCACCTTGCTGTTTGCACAGGGCCATTGACAGGTTCAGGTTTCAGCGCTCTAGATTGGTATTGTAATCACTAGAGTGGATTGCCTTAATAAATTAGCCCTTGCGAGCATCAATCTAAGTGTGTGTCGCCACAGGGTCCCACTGCGGACTGTGGTGTGATCCCCAGCGAGGGGCGCAGCATGTGCACATGCCCTCAAGGGTGGACCTTCCCTGAACTTTCGTTTTGCTCGTGGACCTCTTCGAGAACGTCGCAGGAATTGCATCTTGCTTGAGAATGCTGATTGTACGCCGCAGGGCTCACTGAGATCAAAATCCAGAAAGGCTTACATCGTGCTGCTAAGTATTCATGCTGCTAAGTAGTCATAGGCCATGCGACCGGATCTGCTAAGTATTCACATGTCATGCCGCTAAGTATTCATAGGCCACAGGACTTTTCGGTTCTTTCGTTCCTGCTGTTGCTCTCTCGTTTTCTACAAGCTTTTTAGGTGTATTTCAGGCCTTTTAGTCAAGGGAGCGCCGCTTGCGGGCCTGAACCCCCCCCACCCCTTCCCACCCTACACCCCTCGCACCTTTCTTTCCTTGCCTTTTCGTTTGCTTGGGCTTTCCTTCAGGCTTGTTAGGTCGGCGTGTAGGCTCGTTTAGTCAACGCGCGCCCTGTGCCCACACACTTATGGATATGCGTACTGACTTGACAGCGGTGCCACACGCCAACCTAGGTTAAAAAAAGCGTGAGTAAAACAAGGTGCAAAAGTTGGAGGTCATCGCTCTTAGGTTAGAGGCCAACGAAGGCAGGTTGAGAGGCCATCGCTAGGAGGTTGGTGACAAGAAACTACCTCTAAGACCAGATTAGACTATTTTCTAACTATTCAAAGGAAGTTTAGTGTGCAAAACTTCCGTGTTACGGACATTCAGCAGCTGTTCAACCACCACTCATCATACACCACTCATCATACACCACTCATCACACACCAGTCATCATACACCACTCATCACACACCACTCATCATACACTACTCATCACACACCACTCATCATACACTACTCATCATACACCACTCATCATACACCACTCATCACACACCACTGATCACACACCACTTATCATACACCACTCATCATACACCACTCATCATACACCACTCATCACACACCACGGATCACACACCACTTATCATACACCACTCATCATACACCACTCATCATACACCACTCATCATACACCGCTCATACACCAGCTCTGGTTTCAACAGCTCAAGCTCCAGGCAACTCCAGCTCCAGGTGCAGATTGCGTGGCAGGTGCAGCACTTTGTGAACCTCCATGATTTCGTGGCAGGTGCAGCACTTTGTGAACCTCCATGTGCAGATTTCGTGGCAGGCACAGCACTTTGTGCACCTCCATGTGCAGATGTCG